TTGGCAGAGTTTTTCATAACCTCAATTGTGCCCCGAGTCATCTCATCCCTCCCAGCCTGGGGCACGATGAGCTCGCAACACAGCAGACAAATCCCAACTTAAACAGAGATAAATTATTAAACAGCATTTCTATAGAAGACCATTTTCTGAGAGTGCTTCCAAATGATATAAATCACTTATTCTAACAGCACTTTCCCCTCCTGCCAGTTCTGGTTCCTCTGCATGTGTTCATATGGCCATAACACAATACTGCATTCAGATGGGTTCAAAATCCCCATTTTTCAGCTCCTACAGCAGGTAGCACTAATTATGAAAAGAATTGATTTGGCATCTACATTTAACACATCTCTAAGCATAAAACTTAATTATCTTATCTGGGGATACTTGGCATTTATTAATAAATGCAATACAATTTACAATACATCATTCTGGACATGTCTCAGTCTACCTTTAAGAAAAATTTACCTATTTCAATCTTGTAAATTCTGCTTTATCTCCCAATGTCACCCAGCAGAATTGAGAGAGTAGTAAGAAATGGAGTAGGGAGCTCATGAGAACAAATTGGATTTCTAATTTAAAACTGGAATCAAACCCATTATTCAGTGCTATATTATTTTATTCTTTTGGAGAAGGGCAAAACCTTTCAGCTTCTAAGTTATATATAGTTTTCCACTTCCCCTCCCTACTGACAAATGGATTAGTTGAGGCAATTTCTCTCCATTAAAGGTTTTGCACCTGACACTGTAATGCAGCCACTGCTCAGTTACCCTTCAGGGGAGCCCTTTTTAATCCAAGGTAACAGAAGGATTTGCATTTGTCACTTCAGCTGGGCACAGCCCTCGTTGCTCCCTTCCCTTGGCCCATCTGATCCTGCTCAGCCAAGGAAACAAAACATCCTTGGGGACTGTTTTGGTTAGTAAATGTTAATTTACAAATTTATGCAAAAAAAAAAAAAATTACAAAGGCTTTTGAGGTAGAAATAAAAACAAAGAAAAATAAATTTATTTTGAAGACAAATTAAGGAAAATTCAAATTATATCATAATGACAGAGTAAGGGGCATGAAATGTGGACAGCTAAGCAGGAAAGAGGGGAAATTCATTTACTTTGCCCCACAAGATCTGACTACACCTTGTCCATTTTCTCCACAAAGAGACCTATCCAAAGATTCTCCAGATTCTTCCAAAGGGCAGGCCATGTTAAGAGCTGACAAATGCTTTTGTCTCTCACTGAAATCCAAACTCCAAACTCTCACTGCCCACAGAAGAACTGGCTCCTGGCTCTGTCTCCGCCAGGGGAATCTCATTCCACTTGACATGGGGGTTTATATTCAATAACCATGTCAAGTTTGAATTCTATCTTTGCATTAAATTTGATTTTGTGTGATCGCTATTAAATCACCGGATAAATTGCCCACACAGTACAATAAGCAGGATTATGCCCTTCATCTCTCAAACCAAACAGATTACAGCATTGATTTAGATGAAGTAATAAGGGGAACAAGTTTTGCACCCCCTAAAATGACTCGTGTGGGAGTGCAGTTATTGTAGGAGATGTCACTCCTATCCCACCCTGCTCTGCTGTTTATCAGTGCTACTCTAAGATAAGTTAAAGCAGGTATAAAAGGCATTGTAGGAGAAAAAAAAAATGCAAATCTGTTACAGTAATTTCATCTACATGGCAGAAAGGAAATACACATTTAAAACACTTGAAGCTTCTCTGGTATGTGCAGGGAACTGGGACGGGAACAAGAAAATTTCTTAGAAGAAAATTGCACACTTAGTTATTTTCTAATCATATTAATAGCTCTCCTTTGTACCTATTGCAGCTTCAAGTGGTTTCTTTTAAAAGATCACAATCAGGATGGTGAATAAAGTTCAGCTGAGTTCATCACAATGTAGATAATAAATTTACAGTGGCAGAATTATCCTGATACCAAACACATCGTGCTATTTAATGCCGAGTTGGAAAAGATCAAATTTTTTTGACAATGAAGGCAGAGGACAACCAAATGGCAAATAAAGGGCACAAAACCTGCAATTATTCACTGCTGCATCACCAACTTTCAGTGCAGTGCGTGGGAATTGGAGTCCTGGGCAGGGCTGGGATGTGCACAGCCCTTTAGAGGGCACAAAGATCCCCTCAGAGCAGGATTAAAAATGCCCAGAGATGGAACCTCACATCCTGCCCCTGGGCTTAAAGCTAAAATGCACAATTCTGCTCCAAGCCTCTTTAAAGGCCGAGAGGAGCTTTGGAGAGATGAGCTACCAGGACACAGATCCAGGGAAATGCTGGCACAAGCAGTGCAGTTCTGAGGGTTAGAGACAGTTTTAAACACTCACAGGCCTAATTTTGAGCTCTGCCTTACTGAAAATGGTCCAAACCTTTACATCCCACCTCCCAGGAGAGGCCACTCTCTCCCTCTCACTGACACAAAGCAAATACAAGACGCATTTAGACCAAAATAAACCAACCAACCAACCAAAAAAATAGCAGCAGTGGAATTTAAGCTCTGCACCCTATGAACTCCATGTTTAATTCTTTGCTACCAAGACTTGGATCTTTGAAACCCCAAGGTGCAGCCTAAACCCTGCATTCTCATCCTCCTGTGTTGGGAATCTCAGCTACAAACTGGGTACAACTCAACGGAAGTCCTGGGTCAGGGAGACTTAATTTTATTAATTGGCAGCATCACAAGTGAGCAAGAAGGGATTTCCAAGTGCTTTGAGTCAATGAATTTCTCTTCAGTCAATGAAACTTTAAATGCTAAACATGAGTAGTAGGAGTAATATTTTTTTAATATCATAATGTCAAATGGAAGTTACACCTTGGACTTCTGAAATAAGATTTGCAGCCTTAAGAAGAAGAGCAAAACAGGAGAGTTCCAGTAAGTTATTAGTGATTAGATCTTTCATTAAAGGCACTCCTAGCAGGGAACAATCCATGGAAATAGCCCAGTCAAAGGTCAGCCAGACCCTCTGTGCTGAGACACCCACACTGTGATGGGATAACTGCAGTCTTCCATTATGGAACATTCATCCAGCCTTTTCCAAACCTCTCCCAGTTTAAATTATCCCCATGTGAAAATAAAATCTTTTATATCAATAGCAATAAGCCACAAGTCTTGATAATGATGACAGTCAGACAGACAGCAAGCCATAAATACTGAAAACAGCAAAACATTTTAGGAACAACAGAGGAAACAAACAAGCCCCAAAGCCCAGATTTTTCCAGGAACTGACCCAGAATCTCCAGGCAATCAGCAGCAGCACAATGAACAGGATGGGTGACGAGCTGGTGGTTGAAGATAACATTTCATTTATTCAAGCACTCTGCAGTGGTGTTCCTTTCTCCCCATTTCCCTCAGGAACTGCCCAAAGCTGCTCTGATTTTGACCCCAGCCCTGTCACAGAACCACTGGCACCTCATTTTAAGCAAATTGAGCAAAATGAAATATTACCACCAAACACTAATAGGTAGACACTAATAGATAACTCTACGAGTCAATTACAAAACAAACACCTCCAAGGAAATTTCATCCATAAAGATTTCTGAGGAACAAATAAGATCATTTCCAAGTGATAAACTTCACCGTTGTTATATTCTTTTGCTAATTGCTTCTGCTTTCTTGTAAAATGTTTTGATTTTTCAATTTCAATTAGTAGCCTCAGCAAGGTGTGAACTCAGGCAACCTTGCTATTCTGTTTTTCTGCTCCAACAAGAACATTTCCACATTTTTATTTTGAGAATGGTACTCAAATTAATTACTGGGTTATTTATCTGGAAGGCTGATGGAAGTGATATTTTTTCCCCCATATTGACACTGTGAAGTGGTGTAAGCCCATTGAAATGGAAGGAGTGGAGCCTGTTCCTACCAGCTGAGAATCTGTGGGAAGCAAAGCAAAATTTTCCCTCTGGGCTCTATCTTTATTGGTAACCCAAACTAGTATCTAAAATCTATACTGTGAGAGAAATATTCCCTAGGAATTTTTCATTGAAAAGATCTGTTCCTTCTGCTCAAAGATTCCTCTCCTTGTGCCCATCTCAGTTAATGCCAACAAGCCACACTGAGCTCGATCAATCTCAGAAAATAAATGTAGCATATCTCGGCATTAATGGTATGGATCAATAGAAGAAGCACATTATAAATCCAAGAAGAAAATAGAAATAAAGCTTAAATACCATTAAAATCCATAATGCCTTTCTTTTACAAGCCATTTATCAGGAACAGTGGGTGTTATAGCCCACATGTCAAATTCTACATGGGAAATTCTGCAACACAGTGTGCACAACTTCAGGAAATCAAAGAAAAAAATAAAATATAAGCTTAAACAACAACTAGAATTTGAATTACTTTAACCAGAATTTTAATTAATTACCACTGTTTAATCTATGAAGATTTGTAAGCAAGTTAAATGGATTTGGAGAGGCAGAAATATTAACAACTCCTGAGTTCTCCTACTGAAAGACATGACAACTGTCAGAGCAAATTCTCAACCTTTATCTTCAATGAACTGTCTTTAATGCTATCAGGTAATTTCAACTTTGATCAAAAAAATCAAACTGCTGTGCTGACAAGAACAACTTTTTGCTGTAATAGTGACAAGGGCAGACCACAGCTCTTAATTTTCAGATGAGTTAAACCACAACTGAGCACAAGTTTTGTAGCAATCCAGCTCTTCTCACCTTTCAGTTTTACACCAAATCCTTTCAACCCCCAAATGAACAGATTTCCACCTTTCTGTATAAATGCAGGAAAGCACAGTGCTCTGTACTGATCCCTCCTGAACCTTTTTTGATTTTGATATACTGATTTATATTCTAATACCTGCTGTCATACAGGGTTGGTCTCAGGTATTGAGCAGCAATTTCTGAAACACACTCGAAAGTGACACCTCAAACAAGTAAACAATCCACTTTTCATACCCAGACATATCATCCTGTAAACAAGAGGACATGCTTTCACCAAAACAATCTGCAATTTGCATCGAGAACACACAAGATCAGAAGGGTACTTACATGAGATTTTGCTGAGGCCAAGGCAAGAGAGAGCGAGTTCCTCCAGTCAACCTGCACTTCTTGATTTATCCAGAAACCTCTGGCCTCGAAGTTGAGGACAAGATGGAACAATTTTAGTTCTGATAACATTCTTCCTGTGACCTGTGGCTTCAGCTAAGTAATTACAGTGGCCTTGGCAAATATGAGTTAAGCGGTGTTGCCATGCCAACACACGTCCTTCTCCTTTCAAATGCTTTACTGCTCCAGACACTCTGGGCTTGGAACGCACTTCCCACCAGGCAGACTCCTAGAGGAGTCTGGTTTGGACTTCTTCTATTAGAGATTTCTATTCTATTAATTAATTCCATTTATAGACTAGAAATCTATAATAGAAGAAGTCTAATATGGACTCCTATGGAATAGAAGTCCATAATATTCTATTATAGATTTCTATCCTATAAATCTTCTATAATAGATTTCTTTCTATAGAAGAAATTCTGACCTCAAAATTATGTTAAATGCTCTGGATTTCACTTCACAGGACCAAGCATAAGCATTAATTATCAACGTATTTCCACTTCTCATAAATTTTTTTTCCTGAGGAAGAAGAGCATGAAGGAGCAGCTGTGATCATCATTGCTGGTGTTCAGCAATATAAAATATCCTTATGTACTGATACTCCAGCTGGAGAAAGATCTTTTATTTTTCTGGTCAAAACATATCAATATTGCATAGCTGATACTAAAGGAGTTTGTACTCAGGTATCTTTTTCCAGATGAAAAATGAAGCACATGTGGAGGTTTTAAATTCTGGATTAAATTTTGCCAGAGTTGCCTTGCAGCCAGTTTTAGGAATAAGAGAGAGGAAAACAGCAAGAGTTCAATGCATGTAACCCAAACCTTGTGTAGCAACATTGGATGTAAAATGGAATTCCACAGCAAGGAATATCAAGTTTTAGAGCATTTTAATACATGGAAAATGGACAATGGAGAATTTACCATACCAAAGAAGAAAGTATCAATATCCTAATTGTCAATAGGACACTGTTGATTTTCTGTACCCTGTGCTCATGCCACAGGTGAAGCTGTTGACATCAGGACCTAGAGGTAAATTGGCAGGTACTGGACTATTTGTACTTGTTTTGACTGCACACAATTTGCACAGTCATCATCACACCATTAATGATATTTTTAGCAGGCTTCAATTGAGATAATAATAAAATTTCAGCTTCAAGCATGAATTGTGTTTCCTTTTTTTTATTCCATTACAGGATTCTGCCTGTGAAATTGATGGAGGATCCCTGCAAAACATTCCATAACTTGGATGCAACAAATTGATAGCACCAGCAAAGGCTATTGATTATTAAAAACCCTCTTAGATAAGCAGAAACTCCAAGCACATATTTTACACAATACGCAGTATAATCTGAGCCTGATCTGCATTTTTAGTCCTTTCCTGTGTTTTATTTATTTATTTATAAAATACCAGCAGGATAGAATTACAGCAGCAAAACCAGCATGAGCTGTTGTTTTGTGAAAATGCTACTTCCTGCAGCTGCTTTTACCAGCACCACCAATCATGAAAGGACAACTTTGAAAACAGTTTTTGCAGTCTAAAAATAGATCCTTCTGGATTAGTATTCACCTATACATGTAAATAAGTCAGTCTGATTTTCAGGCAGGCTTTAAGGGAAATGAGATTAACATAATATGAAAATAATTCAATTATTCACAAGAAGATGCAATTATCATACAATCAGTGCTCGGGAATCCAAATAAATCAGCATCTTCATATTTATATTTAAACAAAGAGATCCATCTGCCAATGATAGAAGATTCAAAGACAATTAATTTATTATAGAACAAAAGACGTTGTTCTGACGATTTGCAAGTCAGGTACAAGGAAAGCAACAGAACCGATAATGACTCTAATGCACTCTTTGATTGCTGGAGATGGAAATTGCGCGAGGGAAGCCAAAGAGAGCTAAGTGACGGGTTGTTCTACATGCTGGGGCCCATGGGGGGCCAGGCTCGTGGCTGCTGGGAGTGTTTGATCTCAGGTGGGCTCTAAATTAACCCTTCCTGCACAGGGCAGGGCTCTGGCAGCTCTCAGCAGCCCTGTCCTGTGGAGATCTCTGCTTGAAACCGCAGATTTCTGTCACCTGTGGGGAAAACAGCGTCTCTCTTCTCCACACAGCTGCTGCTCACTAAACCTGATGGAATCTGATAGATTTAAGGCTGTCGACACTTTTGGGACATTCATCTGTGGACTAAACTGTGAGGGGTGGTTGCAGAAATACACACGGGTGCCAAAAACGCCAAAATCAACCAAGCAACCAAGGAACCAACCAACCAACCACGGAGCCAACCAACCAACCACGGAGCCAACCAACTAAGCAAGCAACAAACCAACCAACCATCCAGCCAACCAAGGAATCAACCAACTAAGCACCCATGACACCATTCAACCAACTAACCAAAGAATTAACCAACTAACCAAGGAACCAACCAACCAGCTAACCAAAGAATCAACCAACTAACCAGCCAGCCAAGGAACCATTCAACCAACTAACCAACCAACCAACCCAGTCAAACCAATTTTTGGCAGAATAACCAAGTTAAAATGTAAACAGTTACAGGTTTTGGGTGCATTAATTAGGTTTGGTAACTGAATAAGACAATGTTTGTTCTCCAAGCCTATCCATGGACACTGAATATTTATGAATTATTGAAAGGCAGATGAAGACGCCACAAGAGTGACAGTTTGGGGCCTGGAGGCTTTACAGCCAGCCAAGTATGTAATGTACATTATTCCATTGAGAAGTATGGCCAGTGCCATCTCCACATCACTGAACTGACTGGATTAACAACCCAACAATTCCAACCACATTTGTTAGATGTAATTCTCACCACCCATGAAAACTGCACATTTACCAGTCAAAACAGTAGATCAAGTTAAACCAATTAGCAAAAATAAATTAAGCTA